TTAAAGAGGAATACAAGATAAACTAAACAAAGAATTAAATTAGGGAGAATTATTTATGAAGGTGTCTAAAAGTAGGCAACAACTTTTTTTGATGGATTTATTTCAAGAAACGCTTTTCACTGTCTACTTTTAGACTCTCACAAAATAATATATATATTTTGTAAGTCTTCAGAGAATAAAGGGATTTTTTTTCAAAAGCAATGACAAAGCTAAATTACTTCATCCTTCTGTAAGATTTCAATTATTTCCTCTTCTAAAATAACAAAAAGCGATAAATAACCATTACTAATAACCCAATTAAGTTTAAAATTAATATAAACATTTAGTCGTTTTCATACAAAACAATGGATAAGAAAGCAACAAATGTCTGGCTTCTTTTATTGCTTGCTTTTTCATTTGATGCACTGTTTTAATTAATTAATTCACTTAGACGAAAACTTTTCGAGTGCCATTGAGACGGTAAAGCAAATTTAAATTTTGCATCTGTCTGTGATGTGACAATTTTCCTTGAACTCAATTAACCAGAGATTATCTTTCAATTGGAGCAATTCGCTGTGGGATTGAAAGTTTATTTCGGGATCTTTTCAAGGCGCACACGGTATCATCCGCGTCGAGGCTTTACTATTATAGCAAACTTTCGCCATCTTCGGCTTTGTCTTCTAACGCTGTCAGTGGCATATATGTCTAAATAATAGAAAAGTTAGTGGCGAAGAAAGGAAAAAGCTCCACGATGCACTGAGCTCATCTCGAAAATTTATATGGAGGAGCTGCTGCAAAAATCAAGTATTCGCTCATATGTTAGCTTTATGGCGCCATTTTGTTAATTTATTTCACTTGCTTGACAGTTTGTTTTAAATTTTTTTGTATTTTCGTATTCTTTTTTTTTCGCTCGGTTAGGTTGAGTTCTGGTTTGGTTTGGTTTGCTTTTGTCTTTTGTCGCTGGACAGAGGGAGTGGAAACTTTATAAAAGGGATGGTTTTTCGGGTAGGAAATAAATATTTTTTCGCATTCCTTTTAGTGGTGCAGCCCAGCATTTCTCGTCGGGGTTTGTGTTGGTGTTGGTGTCGCTGTGGTTTTGACATAAAGTGCGCTTATAAAAAACCGCCAAGTTAGAAACGCGCCGGAATAAAATTTTTTGATGAATGCAACGCTCGGCAACGAGCTTGGCCAAAAAATGGCGCAAAAATAGCTGATAAATTTGCGCTCTCCGCAAAACAAATGGTTAAAGTTTTAAATTGAAATTGGGCCAAAAGGCAAGCGAAATTGGTAGGAGAGCGCTAGGTGTAGGTACCTACTACCTACACGAAATAGCAGCAGCTAAAAAATGTCCATAATAAATATCTCAATCAAAAAAGACAAGCGGGCAAAAAGTAGCATCAGCAACGGCAACAGCATCGGAATACAAATATGACGGCAAATGGAACAAAACGAAATGAATATGAAGCGCTGTTTGCCATTTGCCGATTTTGCTAGCTGATAAAACAAAAGGCAACAAAAAGCAATGCACAGATTAAAAATCTAAACTAAAAGCAGCACCGTACTGCTGCTGGTGTGTATGGAAAAAAGGAAAAGTATAAGCTCTTTCCATTTTCCACCATCAAAGATTTCGCTTCCCATTTTGGTTTTTTCTTCTTTTTTCGTTTGTTAGATGTTGATATAAAACAAGCGACTAAATAAAAACCGCACACACACTCACACACCGAAATTCTCAAGGGACGGGGGGGTTTGTAGGGTCCTAGGGAAAGGTCCTGTGGATGGATTGAGAGCAGGAGACACACGTACAAGTGCAGGTCCATTTATCTTCTGTCATTGTGCGAGTGTTTCCGTTTTTGTAATGAATGTCCAGCTGTGTGCATTGCCCTGCGGACAAGGAGCTGCCTCCTCCCCGTCCTCCTCTGGATCCGAATCCAAATCCGAATCGGGCTCTAGATCTGGCCAATGCAAAGCTAAAGCCAAAGCAAACGAGTCCGGCCAACGAAGCGCTGGCCAAAACTGAAACTGAAGCTGAATCGGAGTCCGGAATCCGGAATCTGAATCTGAATCTGAAACCGGACCGAATCGGTGCCACTACAATTGTCGCTAGACGCTCGCTGAAAGGCGTCTTTTATGTCGCTTGATAAGATAAGCCTCGCTTAAAATATATATTCGTCGCTATGTATTTATATGTATGTATGGAGTGGAGATGGAGTAAGATGAGTGTGGAAAAGGATACTGTGCCAACTGGGTGGACCAAGGTATTATATTGTCAACAGTATTTTTTATAGAATTAAGTTGAACACAATTTTGTAAAATATATAGTCACTAGAACATAGAAGTCAGTCCCATAAATATATACAAAACCATTCCCATCTTTTATTTGTTTACACTCTTTGAGTTGGCAGAAAAAATTAAATAAATGGGAGGTGTTTATAATTTAATTTCTAATGCAAAAAATGACCGAGTCTTTAATTTAAATTGGTAAAAAATAAAATGTTTAACCTTTGGAATACATAAATTTCTATTCAATAATTTTATGAATTCAACTAAATATTTACACAGAATTTTAGTTGAAATTAAAATGAACAGTATTTTTTCACTCAAGACATTTTAAGCTTAAGTACAAACATTCCTATTACATTAATTATTTTTATTTAATTTAATAGTTAAAAATGTATACTTATGAAATCACAAAATACGAAAGAAACCAAATATATGTCCACTCTAGTGCAATTTCTTTATAGAGACGGAAAGGAACCGGACACCAAGAAAGGCACAAGTGTGCAACTTGTATGCGGCACATTCTTAATCCGGGTTTTTGTCATTACACTTTCCACTTTATTTCCGTTCGTTCGCAGATTTGCGTTGTAAGCACTGCCCCGCCCCCTTTGATCCCGCCCCCAATCCAGTCTTTACTGTGAATTAGGCAGATTTTCTCCTTTCGTATTTCCCGTTTTTGTTGTTTTTTTCTCTTTCTTTCAACACCATATCTTTCTTTATTTCCCTCGTTTTCGGCCAGCAGAGAGGAGCAATTGGAAATAATGCAGTGAGGACAGATGAGGACAAAGACAAGGCACTGGGGCAGTGGGAAATTGAGATGCAGGGCTTAAAACTGGCCAAGACCCGACGGGGAAAAAGGAAAGGGGCCGAAAGTTTGGACTGAGCCGTAAGCTGCTTGCCGGGAGACTGCAGTTCGGGGCTTAAATGCAGCCAACTGCAAACTCAAATGCCATCAGCTGTCGGGTTCAGAATGAGTATCAGGTATGTTAACCGACGATATCGACAGGTTTTATTTCGGTGATTTCACATCGCAGGCACAAATAAAAGCTTGAGGTATATCAACAGTTGAAATTGTGATCTGAAAAAATGCATGGACACGCAGTTTCGTCCTCCTAACTATCTATTGCATACTAATTGAATATCTCCCAAAAAACAAGGAAATAAGAAAATGTTTGGGGTATTTAATTTAATACAAATATATTCTATATAAATCAGGGACCGTAATCATTATAAGTGATATAATAAAAATCAATATTTAATGATTAAATAATTTTAAAAAATAAATTTTATAAATATTTATATATAAAATTTATTTATAAAATTAATTTTTTTAAACTTTTTTTTTAAATCTAAAAATATTTTTTTTGGGTTCGTCGAGTCTTACTGTATAATGCTGCGAGAAATTTTGTCCAAGGAAACCTCTGAGAAAGAAGATATCGCACTTTGAGCGATATTTTGAGCGAAAAAATAACGCTCAAATGATTATTTTTTGATCGATATTTTTTTCGCTCACAATAATAATAATTATTTTTTGAGCGATTGAAAAAAACTCAACAAATAATTATTAAAATGGAGTAAAATGTATAAAAATCAAGAAGTGCGAAATCATTGCGGATATGGATAGAGCACACAAATAGTAGCCGATTGGTATAATTCGTTTGATTATACGACTTTTCCAAGTGGATGATTTTTTTGCTTGAAAAATACATCGATAATCATTATTTACGGTCCCTGATATAAATGAAACAAAACAAAATGGTATTATATTAAAATGAATTGACTTGCAAATACGCAAATATTTTGACGGCCGAGTAAACCGAATATTTAAATTCTAATTCTAACGAGCTTAAACTTTATAAAAAACAGTAATAAAAAACGGTATAAATAATAAAATATAAAAAAAAATAGAATACTGACATAATATTATAAAATTGTATAAATAAACAATACAAATATTATTTCAAAACATGATTATACATTAATTTATTAAACTAAACAAATAGATTAGGATCCGTTATGCCTGCAATTGATTTTTCCATAATTTCACCTCTCAAATCGCCGGCAACTTGTCTAAATTATTTGGCTGATTTTCCCCCGACCAAAAACACACGTGTCCCGCAGGGCAAACGTTAATTCGATTTGAGGGCATCTCTCCACTCGTTATATAGACGAATGTTTCTATATATGTACTTTGTGTATTCCTGCAGATCCTGTTCCCCGAGTGGCAACCTCAATTTACCCATCTCGCCAGTCCCGACGGCATAAGCGAATTCATCCATTAAAGCTGCCAGCAGCGTACATAAAGCCAAACAATTCCCCTAACTACCCAAATTGATCAATTTCAATTCACTGCAAATAGCCTGGGCGTGATTTGTTGGGGTGGCTCCTCGGTTCCTTGGTGGCCCGTAATGTCGCCCCCTGGTTGGTAATGTTTGGCAATATAAAAACTTTTTTTGTACTTTTACGATATAGGAGGCATCTCTCTCTCTGTCACTCTAAAAAAAAAAAACAAAACAAAAAAAGGTATAAAACGACAACGACACCTTTGTCGAAGTAGCTTACTACAAATTTGTCAAAGCCCGGGCAAATCGAAAACAAAAACGTAAAAACGTGAAGCGAAGTAAAAACTCCAATCGGTGGCAATAGCACGCACCAAAGGCAAAGTTTGCATTTCAAATCTCAAGTTCCCTGCTGCCGAGTTGAGTTTTTTGTGTGGAACTACATATAAGTTCGAGTTTGCGGAAATGGTCAACCATCCGGGCAATGGACTTGTGACCTACGGTCTACTTCTGAGCTTACCTTTGCGAGTGGTGCTATATGCAGCATTTCTTTACCTGGATAATCTGATGGCCCTCTTGCAGTTGATCCAGGAGATTTTGAGCCTGAATGTGGAGGTGCTCGTTTTGGGCATCATGTACATGTGCAATCGATGGCCGATTGCGGGTTCACCACTTCAAGTGATCGTCCTGCGTATCGTCCATTTCTATATGAGCACTTGGGGTCTGCTGCTCAACCGGCTCATCCACTACTTGAAGTTCCCGTGCGTCATTCTGAGACGACTCAGCCGAGTTTTCCACCTCTGCGCCCAGAGACGCACCTGGGCGATCATGCTGCAGCCGAGCTGAAAAGCGCTGGAAATCACCAAAAAACTCTCAGAGCTGAAAAATTATCCTGCGAGAGCAATAAACGTTCGCAAGTGCATGAAATTTAATGCTCAATTTGTGGACTCAAATCCGCATTCTTTAGCGAGGTACTGGATGAACAGAGGGGTATATTGGAAAAAAGGAAAATTGGATATACATTTTAAAGTTTATGTTCTCTAAAGCATAAAATTACCATTGAATATTAAATGGAGAAGTATGATTTAAAATTTTAAGGATTCTCTAGGGTCTATCACTATTGCTGCTCCCTTCAAAACTTCTTTCTAAAAGGTGTAATAAATTATTTTCTAATTTTATGTTATAAAAAAAGGGTTTTTTCACCTTAAAAATGATAATTAGAACATGATAACTTAAATTATTATTTTAACCAAGATAAATTAAATTTGTATTTTTTTTTTCATAGCATTAAGTCTTAATTCCCAAATTTATTTAACTGCCAAGTATCATTTAGTCGACTACAGCTTTCCAACATTTTTTGGGTAGGGGAATGCCGCCAAATGCATCCGCATTCGCATTCGCTTTTAGCGTGCGCAATTACACTTGAAGAAATCCTGGGGATTTCATGCGAAAATCCATTTGTCACAATGCCGAGTACGTGAGGCTGCGCTGCAGCTGCAGCGGTGCGTGTAAATGTGTCGTCCGGGCAGAGCGCGAGTCCTTCGGGTCGTCCGTTTGGCCCCTGCCGTCCCGTCCTCTTCTCTCCTCTCCTGTCCCGTTTCGCCCTGTCCCGTGGATCCTTTTGCATCCTTTGGCAAAGCTGCACAGCTAGTTCCACCGAACTGATGCAGCTGCAGTGCCGTTGCTCTATCACAATGACACTTCATTTCAGTTGGCCTCTGCGGCAAGGAGTCAGTCCTCGATGCTTTGCCCAAAAATATATGTACACATCTACATGCCTCGTATCTCCGCATCCGCATCTGTATCTGTAAATGTGGTCATTGCCGGGAGCCTTTGGATGAGAAAATAGCCAGCTCTGGATTATTTGAAGCCGACGTAGTGCGTTCGCTTAATGGAGTTTCTCCAAGGGCCAAGTCAGATGTAGGAGGCCGGAGGAGGGCAGCTCCAAGCGTATTGGCAACGTAAACGGATTCTCGGATTGTTGGTCTCCAGGATTCTTAGATTTCGGCAATCAAGTACAATTCAAAGAGCCATGGCATCCAGTATCAAAGGTCAAAGGTTCTTAAGGAGTGGGAGAGTCTGGTGAAAGCGGAGCTTAAACATAAACTTGAAGTGAAGATTTAAAAGTTTTTTATATAAATTTGTATGGTTCTAATATTTATTTCATTTATTTTGAACTTTTTTAATGCCATATTTTCTTTCACTTTTCACTCGAAAGGCGGAATTTTTTCTCCAAATAACTTATTTTGTCAATATTTCAACTTGCTAACTAAACAATTTTTTCTGATCTTGTTACTTAGGGCCGGTTTCTCGAGTGCCGGCTAAAATTTCTCGAACAGATAAAGTCCCTGCTAAGGCATTTTGGCTTTCTCGAGCACCAATGTGAGAGCTAACTTTGACAGGGACTCGGAGTCCCTGTTAAGCGTTTTCGGCTCGATAGAATGACAGCTGATTTCCCAAAGCCAACTATGAAGATGAAACGAAATCACAGCTGACTTTTCCTTTGAATTATACCCAAACAGCTGATGAAAAAATCGAAGCATGCCATTTTTTGCCCTTCACAGCACAATTCTGTGCGTTAACAGCACTCTGTAATTGTTTCTCGTTCAGATAAATTAAAGCAGTCGAGAAAGCGGATTTGCTTTTACGAACAGTTTATCTGGTATTTAAGTTTTTCGAACAGATAGCTATCAGGGACTTTGACAGGGACTCGAGAAACCGGCCCTAAGACTTTTAAAATCCTTGTAATAACGAGCTGTTTATGCCCAGCTTAATTTTTATAGTCTAAAATATGAACAATCAACCTACTGAGGCAACCATAACTCCTTTTAAAAAAGTATGCCACAATAGAGGACTCCCATCGCCACTTGACCAAGAACAAAGGGCGAAGGATTTAAATTAAAAGTACTTTACTCTAGCCCTTGATCTGTGCAATCCACCCTCGCTTTTCACAGATTTCAAGTGCGAAAGCGAACGCCGCACAAGTTTTCATAATCATGAATATTGTTTATCGCCCTGTGAGCAGCTCAGAGCTCCCAGCTCTCAGCTCCCAGCCTTTGCAAGTGCATTTGAGCATAATGAGATAGACTATGGACTCCGGATTCCAGACTCCAGGACTACAGGACTCCCGGCGAAGTTGAGTTGGCCTGAGCCGCAGTTGAGTTGCAGTTTAAGCCGCTCGCTAAGTGCTAAGTAAAAAATAACCGAGGCCATAACAAAAAGGCCATGAAAAAAGGTCTTTAGACACTTGACATCGCAACGGATGGTGAATGGATATGGGGCTTAAAGCCCCGCATTGCATTTAACTGCGGGAAAAAAAACTCTTTAATTGGCTCGCAACGGTATTTTCATAATATGTTGTTTCAAGAGTTTACAGCGTATTTACACATAGAATTACATAAATGCTGAGCGCATTAACTTTAATTGAAAAGTATTTTTAATTAATAAATTTCAACACGTTGGCAGCGGCACAGAACAGAACAGCACACATAATTGCAAGTAGGCATTAAAAAGTGCCCACTCTTTCCGCGCAAAGGGCAATCATCACAACAATAACAATATAATGTCAGCACAAACAACTGCATATCCGAGGGAAACATATATATACAAATACATATATACTACATAGTACATTGTATTGATATGTCAGACAACAACAATGGCAAACGGAACAGCGACCAGCGGAAAAAAGGTTAATTGACCAACAAATAACTTAATTAAATCAAATGAAAATTAAACAATTCAATTTTTAATGAGGTTCGCTGGTTTTGACCTCGTTTCAATTATGAAAAGCAAGCACAATGGGCACAAGTGCCCGGAGTAGGCAGCTCCCGGATGACTGATTGGACGGATGGACGGGATGGCCAGCTGGAGGTCGTCGTTCCGCCCATCCGGAAAAGTGGAAAATTGGAAAAGTGGCAAGTGGCAGTGGCACACAGCACTGACAGCTCTATTAAAATTTTGAATACCCTCAATTTGGACCGCCCTCTCAGTTTCACTGGAGCTTCCTTCGGCGTACAATAAAAAAATGGTCAGTTGAAAACTATTAATTACAGGTGGTTAACAAAAAAAATGAAAAGGGTAAGGAAGGGACTTTCGAGTATGGGGCCGAAACTCTAAAACACGTGTGATTGCTGAAATACTTAATTATACCTTGGAAATGTTTTAAAATACTCATTAACTGAAATTAGGTTGCCTTCACGTAGAGTTCCAGAAATAATCTAATTTACCAGGAATTAAAAGCTATTTAAAGCTAAGGTTTTAGCTAAACTGTTAAAACATACATTATTAAATTAAATTATTACATCAAAAAATATTATAGTTATTAATTATAGTTATTACAGATTTTTAGGAATATTTTGATCTTTAAATTCTTTAAACTTTTATATTTTTATATTATATTTTTAATTAATACTAAAACCCGACTACTAATTAATTAAGCCTTCCGAATGGAAATTCCATTTACTTTAATTTATGGAAATATTGGCAACTTTTGAGATGAAAATCTCGCCATCGCTGTAAATAAAGCCCTGTTGAATCAATAATTAATTTTTAATGATTTACAACGTGACAACTGCTTGCATGGGGATAAAATAAAATAGCAGATCAACTATCAAAACAGAAACATTGCCTCACTTTAACAATTCACAAACCGAATGCGATTCGCCATTCTGCACCCCAACGGGAGTGAAGTTCATAAAAAATACATAAATTATGTAAATTGATTAAAAAATCAGCATACCTCGGCAATAAAATGATTATAGAACAGAATGAATAAACAATAGCCACTTGCAAAACTGCAACAACTGCAGGACAGCACTCATAGAACAGAACAACAATTTACAACTGCCGAGTGGCAATTGAAACTAAGACCATGGAGGAATGTATTTTATTTGATTTTACTTGCTGCTCCCTTTACTTTTTTTTTCGTCTGGTCTTATTGTTCTTATTGGTTGTTATTGTTGGGCGTTTAATGAATTTTATTGATTGCAAATACAAAATAAGAACACAGCATCAGGCAAATGGAAACCATTTACAGCTTAAAAATATTTAATTACCAACCACCCAAAACGAATGGACTGGGGGATTTCGATGGCTCGCTGGGAGTTGGGTCGAAATGTTTCAGGTCTTGCCACCAAATTGCAATTAATCTTCTTTTAACAGCAAACTTTTGATCCGCTTTATTTGCATTTCGCTGCGGCCCAACCGTTGGAGGGAAAATAACGAAAATGCTTGTCATAAAAAATTATCAAGGGTTAAAAATTATGTAACGCGTTTCATTTTGGTCGCTGGGAAATGATTTATGCAAAATCTGTGTGCCCCTTAAAAATGAATATAAATTGTGCAATTTCATGATGTTCTTTTACTCCTCCAACTTAGGTCAACTTTTTGTGTCCGGCAAATTAATTTAAAAGCAGCAACAATAAGTAAAATAACAAACTGCGCAAGGGTCGTGGGTCGCTCTTCCTGGGCATTATTTATAATCTCACATTGAAAGGTTCTCTAATCTTCTGCTCTTAAAAACGTCCACATTAACCGATAATAATTTTCTGATAGCCCAGGTAACCGGGATAATAGCCACTGCCATAGCCGTAATATCCAGGCGATTGTGAGCCGTAGTAGCCGTTGTAGCCAGGATAGCCAGGATATCCCCAGGAATAGCCAGAATAACCACTGGCCCAGTTAAAGAAGGGAAACCCGGTGATGCTGCCGCTAAAGAAGATGCCACGCCTGCGACGATGCCGCCCCGGATGCAGATTCCACACGGAAGCAGTTGCAGATTCATCCCGCACCGCAGAGCCGCCAATTTCCTGCTCCAATGACAGCAAATCCGTTTTTACATCGCCAACTGGTGCCACATCCTTGTCAACAGCCGACGCGCCACTCAAGTGCGTGCCCAGCAGCAAAATTGTCTGCAGCAGCAACAGCAGCATATTTAAATATTTAATTCAACGTTGAAAATATGATATTTATATTTAATTCAATCGACAAACCGCGTCAATGCCTCGCACACAACTGCCAGTCAAAGAGTCGTCGATGCTTCCTATTTATATGTAGGTTGAAGTGTGGATGGAACACCACATACGTTTGTTTTAAAGCTCGCTAACTGGAGTTAATGCAAATGGATTCATAAAAAAATTCAAAAAAATATTGGTAAAGGCAAAAAATATTCTAACAAATGTGACGTATTAGAAGGGGCAATCAATATGGTATAGAAGCTAATGTGTAAAAATAAATCTCACGAAGATGAAATACTCTTTTTTGGTCATATTTTGACTCCTCTTTGATTTTTGATACTGATAATAAATTTAACCCATTAAACTTACCTGCACACTTTTCGTATATTTACCCATTTTTATTTAAAGTTTTTCAGGCAAAAGAGTCATTCATTTCTTTTCGATACTCGATAATTGAAGCCAATGCTAATTTTTTTAATAAAAAACTCCGAGTAAAACCAATGGAACTCAAAAAATGGTATCGAAAAAAGCACAAAAGAACAAGATGGAAAAAATTGAATGAATCAAGCAATGTAGGCAAAGCAAAACGCTTTTCATATAACCTTTGAACCTACTCAAGTCGAGTACAAGTTCAAAAAAAGTCGTTTAATCTGGCTTTGTGGCTTGACCAGGGGGCTTAAAACACTCTCCTGATGCTTATTCCTAAATCGCTTTATGAACCGAATTATGAAGGCTTGACAGCACTTGTCTGATATTCGTCGCAAATACCCTCAGACACCCTGAAACACCCCCCATTCGCCCCACCCACCCACTCATTTGCGCAGCCAAACTGCCAGACCTTGTGTCCCTTTTCACACATTACGCATACGACACGTTGTTGCTGCTTTCGTTCGGTCTGGTTCTGTTCGCTTTGCTAGCTCGTTGGTTGCCAATTGACACATTTCATGTTCAGATATGCGTAAATAACAATTATTGTAATTTTTCAAAGCGCTCGTTGCGAGACAAAGCGTAGACTTGTGACAATTCAGCGATAATACATAAAAGCGTAACCTTAACCGACAGCGTGTGAACCTTGAACTTGAGTGACAGGGGGCAAAAAAGGCGCCGGATGCTTTTATTTTTTTCCTTTGTATATATATATAAATATATATATTTTTTTTTGTTTGCCCGAGTAAACTCACTCCCCTTTCTCATAAATATATTCTACAGGATGTGTCGATGTGCCAGTGTCGGCGTGTATGTGTTTGCCAATGTGTCAACATTTTAGATTGCCTTGCATGATTTGCAAGAAAAATGAAGACAATAGTTGAGTTTTACACTCTCCACTCAACGAGCGCAACAAGAAAAACGTGAAAAACAGCAAAAACAAGAAAAACGAAGCCAAGTACCGCTGTCAGCGTGTCACGCGATTTGTTGCCTTTGAACGAGTATGAAATGAATATATTTGTCATAAAGGAAAGTCATGGCCCGCTGTTTGTGGGTGTCGTCGAGTTCTTTATCCCCGATTAACAAGGGCAAAGGGTAAAGGGTAGAAAGTGAAGTGCTGAAAAGGGGTTGAACAACTAATTGCTACCCAGTAAGCTGCTTATGTTGCAAAAAACTCACAAAATTCTTCTATCAGCCTGTTTAATTGCACACAAAAAAATTTGCTTGGTAAAATTGACCAACAAAGATAGTTACGTAACTATTAAAATAGTTACGTGTATTTTGTTTTTGCTTTGGGTTTGTGTCTTTGCTAATTGTGTGTATTTTGTTGTTGGGAAATGAAAATTTACTTAGTAGAATTGACAATTTTGCTGGTTGGGGCCTGTTTGACAATTATTACAGTTGATTTTACCAAGTTTTTTTTTTGTGTGTGGGAAAAAAATTACCACAGGCCAGGGGATTTCGTAAAATTAAAAAAAAACCTATTCACATTTTTAGCAAGCCTTTTTAGGAATTAAAATGGTGAATTTTGAACCTTTGTAACAAATATTAGAAATGGGTAATGAGAACTAAAATAAGGATTATGTACTTTATCACATCACCAATATCCCCCAATCGAAAACCTTGAGCAATCGCCTCGAACAAAAACCCCCTGCAATGAAAAATCAGAATTGGGTTAGTTCCGTCTCCGTCGCATTTTAATTCTATTTGCACATTCGGGCGAAACTTACAAATACAAAAGGCGAACTATAAACAATGGCAGCGGAACGAGAACAAGAAATTGCGTTGCCCAGATAACTTCAACAACTTTTCGCGATTTCCGCGACTTGCGACTTTTGTATTGTGTGCACTTGTCTGCGTGCGTATCTGTGTTCGATGAGGCTCCGTCTCTGTCTGTGTGTGGATGTGTCAACAAATGACTCGAATGAAATTTATAAGCAAAGTTAGCTGAACGCAGCAGTGGCAGTGGCGAAAGTTGATAAGGGTTTGGTGGTAAGTGAAGTTTTCTCCAAAAAGCCAAAGAGCCAGCTCATCCGAAGATACCAAGTAAAGGGAACTGGGTCGATGAGGAAAGGGATGAGAATGAGGCATAGTTGTGGTCCCCACTACCCCAAGTCCCCCAAGTTCAACAGGAGGCCAATAACATGGCCAATGTATTAATTTACGCAAGTCAAATTCAAACTTTGAGTTGAGTTAATTAAATGCCCGGCCATCGGAGGAGAGCTTAACTCAAATAGAAACTAATGATAAAAGGCACTGGTCAAGAAGAAGCTTGGCAGCTAAAGAGATTCTTGGAAACCGGAGAAGCCCAAGGAGACCGGCGATAACGGTAACTGGCCAATAGACCGGCCCAGGAAATGGTCAAGCTTCCATCTAGTGAATAATAAGCCCAAATCCTTGAATACGCTCTGAAAAGGCTGATGTGCCGGGCTTCAACTTGGCCGGAACAAGTGCAAACGTTGGCCACTTGAACCCCCAAAGCAGTAAACCTATTGTGTTCATTGAATCCAGCAAAATTCTGAGAACTATCTGAAGCCATACGGTCGAAAGGATTAAAGCTTAGATATTTCCAAGGGAAATAGTGAATTAAGCCATTGTTTAAGAAACAAAGCCTTTCTCCCAATTTTTATCTAAACACCATTAAGAAATTCAATTACAAACATATATTCGGGAAATTATTTCGGGGATCCTAAAGCTTATCAACGAAAAGTAAAAAGTGTTTATGAAATATTATTTATTTTTTTATTGAATAATATTTTATTATTAAATATTTGCTGGAAAAAATTCTTATTTTTTTACGGCTTTTAAGCCATGGTAACATTTTAATGGAATTTCGAATTTCCTTTACCACATAACGATATTTAAAACCTCTCGATTGAAACAATTGAACTGCCATTAATCCTTAACCACCCGCATTCCTTTGCATTTTTCACACTTTTCCCGGAATCGGCGATAAGTCGCCAGGCAAAGAGAGCAAAAGAGAGAGTGAGAGAGTTAAAAGGAAAAACCACCGCGGAGTGCAACACAATACAGATTTAATTAATAATTATAATCATATTTGCAGTCGCTGCCTTGCAACCAATACTTTGTGGACACACGCGCACAAAATTCAATTAACTCTTTCATTAGTGCAATCGCAATCGTTGTATGCAACTCATGCGCTTTATTAAAAACGTATTTGTTTCAGGACTTCTGGCGAGACTTCTCGAACGAAACACCCAGGGACTCCAGGGGCAAAATAACTCGGACTGAAAGTCACTCGGGCTCGACAAAAAGTTGGTTTTGACATTTGCTCGACCGTATTATGACACTTAATGAGAAAGTTTTGTATTAATATTGGTAAACGAACTAAAGGGCGAGTCAATTATCCCTTTCCCTTCGCATAGCTCAGCAATTTTTTATTTAATTAGCGTTGATTTACGGTTTGCTAGGCCATAAAACAGGGCTAAGGGCATATCCATCGTGAAGGCATAAACGTGAATATGTTTATGTGTAAACGATTGTGCAGAGAAAAAAAATAATGACTTACAAGAAAATTTATGAATACAATTAACTTAAGGTTAAGGTTAAATAATATGATTTTATTTATATTTAATGCAATAATAAATTGACATGTCTCTAAAAATCTCTTAAAAATAAGCCAATAAATTCGCTTTTGAGTGTTACATAATGCATAATAATTTAATGCGAAATATGTAGCATACTTTTACTCATCTACTGTTGTGATTTGAAATCCCATAAACTGGAGTTTTAATATATATTCAGAATTTTTTCCCGTGTGCATATCTTTGATCTATAATGCTCACATTGAGGCGCATTTTGCTTAATCATCATTTGGCTACCCCACCACCGACGGCAATCTTTTTTATATCCCCGTGGTAATGACAGGTTGCGAGACAAAAAGTAACTTTTTCAATTTGATATAGCTTAATTGTTATGGTTGTTGCCCTGCGCTGTTGTTGTTGTTGCGTTGTTGTTGCTATTATTATTATGACAGGGCACTTTGCGATGTCATTGTCGCTGTCTCACAGCCAGAGTGTCGGCTAATGTGTCGCCCGTTATTGGGGCTTCCCCCAAAAAGGTTACCGTGTTGTTTTTTTCGTTGTTGTTTCGGTTTGACTTTTATGACATCGTAGCCGGCCAATAAATAAAGCATGACGCCCAGCAGCCGTCGTCTCTGCAGGTTCCAAGGATTCGAAGGATACCCGTTTGGATTTTCCCTCTCCACTTACCGCTGTGGTGGGCCCAAACAAATGCCAAAGTAATCAGCTGGTTAGCTGACTGCTGCCTGCCCCCTTGCAAGAAGTCAAAAAGCAGTTTGGCAGAGTGTGTGGCAGCTTTAAATTCGTGCAGTCAGCACACAAAGAACACCGCAGACCCTCAGCCCTCAGATTCTCAGACCCTCAGTGCTTCAGTCCCCCTTCGCCCCCTTCAGTCACACTCGACACAACTTAACTCTTGAACACATGCCGCCAGCAGGCACATGGAGGAGAAACTTTTGTGACGAGGACGCCGAGGACGGGGACAGCCAACAATGAAGACGACGACCA